GCCTGCTGGCCTGGCGAGGGCTGAAGTCAGCCGAGTGTCACGGCGGGAGGCGAAGAGTGGCGGGGCTGTGACGTACACGGCCAGGCCCCGCCCCCTGGCCATTTATGTCACCGCCCCGCCCCCCCTTCACCTCCCACCGTGACGCTCGGCTGACTTCTGCACCGCTCAGCCAGGCCACCGTGGAGGAGTAAGTGACACAAGCGACCGTTTGGGCCCCGCACTCCCCATGAAGCACGGGCCACCCAGAGGGAACAGCCAGCATTTCAGGCAACAACACTGCCCAGAGGGAACAGCCAGCATTTCAGCGTTGCAGACTCTCAGACATTGGGCTACTATATATATGACTAGCCAATTAGCCCGTCATAAGACGGGATTTTCAGGTCTCTTCTCCATGTTAGACTTCTCTCCTGAGCCTCCGGTTCATGATCAGGGGGCGGGACCTGGAGCCGCTGTCATGCCGCACATCACTGCCCCACCCCCCTTCCCTTCCCGACATTGCGCTTGGCTGGTTTCTGTGCCACTCAGCCAGGCTGCCAGAGAGGAGCAAGCAGCCATTTGGTCCCCACACTCCCCATGCAGCATGGGCTGCCCACAGGGAACAGCCAGCATTTCAGGCAACAGCACCGCCCAGAGGAAACAGCCAGCATTTCAGCGTTACAGACTCTCAGACACTGGGCTACTATATATATGATGAATGGAGAGTCAGGTAAAAGTATTGGAAACAAAAGGTTATATAAAAAATGAAGTCATAACATGCATTCTAGAACCTAGACTAAGATATTCTTGTTTTGTAGAACATTATAGAATATTGCTCACCCAAAGTCCTTGTAGCATTTCATGGCCATGCTGGCCTTGGTCCTCCTTTCATGAAAGACACATGCTGCCAGCTTGCCTCCCAGGCAAAGGGTATGTGTGTTTCTTTGATCTGAAGGTATACCAGTCTGATTCTTTGTCTTTATTCAGAAACAGAACAATCTTGTTGGTTTGTTTCATCTTGTAGATTTCCTTTCTTAGTCCTGGTCTATACTAGGGCATTCTTTCAAACTAACGCCCCTTATTTAAAAATAATAAGTGGAACGTCCATGCTACCAAGCCCATGATTTCAAAATAATGGGCTGGTTATTTCAAAATCCATACTCCTGCTTTCCTCAGGGCATAACACTTACTTTGAAACAGTTATTTTATGTTGAAGTAATTACTCCCTAATGCTTCCTGGCGCTCTAAGTTAAAGTAGCATGTCCACAATAAAGGAGCCTCACTTGGACTAATTTTGAGGCTTCCCTGTAGTGTGGTCATGCTATTTCGATGTTGTTATTTTGGGAGTTATGAAATCGGTTTTAGTTATTTCAAAATCGTTTCCTTGTGTAGACATGCCCTTATAGGCTTCACAATCCTCATTTAGCAGTATGTAAATAGGCATACATAGCATCATACCTAAATGGTGAGACAGGGATAAGAGTGTCTGCTACCTTCTAAATGTTCCTTTCAGAAAGGAGGTGTGGCTCTTTGCAATGAATATGATGACAAGTGGGCTACTGGCCCTCAGTAATGATCTCACATGCCACCTTTCAGTGAACTATTAAACATATATCTGACTCAGGGTATCCCTGTAAAACCCTATGAATTCCCATGCCCCCCAGGAGATCACAGTAGTTCCCCTGCTAGTTCAAAAGTAAGGCATTTTGGCCAAAAATGGCTAGTTAGTTTCATTTTTTTGGAGTGCTTATCTTGAGACACCTTAAAAAGACCATGATCTTCAGATGCTAGGTACTCAGCACTTCTTGAAAATCAGGTCTCCTAAAGACATCTAAAATCAATACTCATTTTTTCTATATCTTTGCCTTTGGCTATAGGGAAGACGAAGACTCTTGTATTAAACAGTAAGGAGATGGAGAACATGCCTTCGGTCTCCCTTTAGGTGTTTTCTTAATTTGTTGGGAGCTTAGGTGACTTCCCCCCCAACCTTGCTTAAAATCAAAGAAAATTCTGCCACTTTGTAGACATTAATCTGACAAAGAAAGTATTATAAATGTTAACGGTTGCCCTGTGTTATATTGCTTCTCTAACTTCTAGTGGATCAGATTAGCATGAAGACAGTGTGAACGAGATGATGATCACAAAAGTGGCTTATGTAGAGAACCTTTTTAGTTCTATGTTTTTAGACAAAATAATCCAACTTTGACGTTATTCAATGTGAAGTTGGAATTTATACTACAGATTTTTATTTTATTCTGACAACTCCCTTGACCAGTTTCTTTTATCTGGCAGGGTGTCATTTATTAGAACTAAATCTTTTACTTGGCAAATGTAACCTTTGTTTTTATTATAATATAGCCACACATATATCATGATTTTGTTTTTGTTCACTACTGAAATTGTTCTGTGGATCATTTTTAGGGTGCATCTACACAGCAGGGCTTAACTCAAAATAAGTTAATTTGTGTAGCTTATTTAGAAATTGGGAGCATCTATATTGTACTTATTTTGAAATAGAGCATTCTTCCTTCGACTTCCCTTACTCATACAGTGAGGGTTACAGGAGTTGGAGGAAGAAGTCCTCCAGCTTGACAGTATTTTGACATTATTTCAAAATAACACTAGTTATTTTGAAATAATGTTGCTGGGTAGACGTACCCTTGTGGAAACAGATTTAAGAGTCTAGATTGTTTGGTTACATGTTGTAGTTTCATTTCCCTGACTGAAGGACCTAAGCTATATAAGCAAAAAGCACACCTGAAGGAATCACTCAGGTTTGATTATCAGAAAGATCCATAAGAGGACCTTCCCTCTTATCCCTTGACTGCCTACATTACTAAATATATGGAATGCCCCCAAGAACCACCAGGGTATATTAGACTACACAAAAGTTCTCAAGTAGTTTAGACACTTATTATATGAAATCAGAGTACAGTGAATAAGCTTTGCTATATCATATGTCAGCATGCCATATGTGAATTTGAGATGAATATGGAAACTTCCACTCCTCTCTCTCTCCCCCGCTTCATAGTGGACATGGTAAGTAAAATGGGAGAAAAGTAGTATGTGCTTTTTCTAACATTTAGGTGGACTAGAGTTTACTTGACTGCCCATCCAAATCTATCAGTGCTTGGAGCCTCAGATTTCAGTTGGAAAGGATTTCATAGTGTCAGCCTCCCCACAACAAAGTCCAAACAGGGTAACAGAAATAAACGTGATTGTAAAGTGCCAATTGTATTACATTTTCCAATGATAAACAAACATAATAATAGCTTAGTTTCTACTAAACAACATGGGTATTTCATAAGTCATTTATCTCACCAGGTGTGGGTAGAAGAATATGTACCAGGCCACAGCTACTGCATGAGCCTCCAGGGATAAGCTGGGGGATGAATATGGGATGGGAAAATAGTGGGCCCTAAGTTCCATTCCTGGCTCTGCTGATGACGTGCTGTATGGCTGTGGCTGGTCTCTTTCATCTCTCTGCATCAGTTTTCTTGTCTATAATACAAGTTTTGTAGTGAAGTGGTCATGATAGGGTTAAATTGGTTAACCAGAGCATGATGAGGTGAGGTCATTCTCTAACCCTAACCCTTCCATTTTAGTTAAGTAGCCCCCCCCCCACACTCTCTGCAGAGCTGCAATTAAATAAAGCAACAAGTTCCCAGTCTGCAGTCCTATGAGTAGGTTTATTTTTGTAGCACTGAGCGGTTTCCTTACAAAAAAAGATTAATAACACTTAACCCAGTCTCTGTATCAAAGGCTCCAGAGTAGGTTACTATTATCCTGGTCTGTAAACTGCCATCAAGGCCTGTAATCCCATCTTCCCTTCTTAATCTTTTTATCTGCAGATTTGGAAGGAGAGGAACCAATGTCTTGACTCTATAAGTGACATCCGGTGTGACATTCAGAAACATGCTGGTGACCAGGTAAGGTTACAGTGATCAGCTCCCTTTCTAACAGATTCTACGGATGATGCAGTATAGTTATCATTGCCACCACCTGAATCCTACATTGAAAAAAACTGCCATTGAAAATAGTCCAACCCTTTTGTATCAATTCCAAAACCCATTCATCTAACTTTTGATAGAAAATGGGACTTGAGCCAATACTCTGTTATCTTCATATATATAGTTATAGGCCACCAAAATCCACAGCTACCACACATCCAGGTGATCCCCCTCGAAGGAAATCTCCTTTGTCTTCATATGTCTAGCCTAGTGACTCAGGGTAGGTAGAATCATGATCAACTGTTCTACCAGCACTGTGTCTGCACTAATCCAGAAGTGGAAAGATAAGCCTTTTCTTAGGCCAGGTGGAGCAAGATATAATTACATAATGCTGCTCTGTGCTCTTAAATAGTTAGCCTGTTTCAGCCAGGAGCTAGCTACATTTCAGTAAAGGGCAAAGTAAATTGCAAGCCAATATTGATTTATAAAATACTGTAGGATTTGCCTGGATGACAGGTGCTATGCAGAAACCATTATCATAATTTTAAATGGCGCACTAAAGAAATAGTTTAACAGTTTAGATTTAGTTTCCAGAAGTTTGAATCTTGTTTGATCTTTTGATACCCTTAGCATGGGTCCCTCATACTTTGTGACAACAACCTGAATTATTCATGCTTATTGACAATCAGAGGAATTAACATTCTCTCAGCAAAACCAAGCAGATTCTCTGTGTAGTTCATGATAATAATGATCAAAGATGAAGTGAGATTACCAGTAATACTTTAGGTACTTATAGGAGCTTAAAGATTCATACCCATGCCTTCCCTCTCCCGACAAACATACGTTTTCCCAATTCTTATGAGAAATGTGTTTAAAGAATAAGATCAACCAGCAGGGGGCACTCTGAACTAAACTTTGGAACTGTGGAAGTCTCTTGTATGCAAATAGTTCTTTCAGTGACATCTTCAACTCAATCAGAAAGCAACCTAAATAATAAATAAAAATTGTATCCAGTTTGTTGGTTTGCTTAGAAGGAAAGGATGTCAATCTCCAGTATAAGTATGACATTAACTAGCAGCAGCAGCAGCAGTCTCCTTTGTTTATTGTAAGAATATTTTAAAGGATTGCTTTTTTACAGTTTGACCCGTTGACAAGTTGTCTTACTCATTCACTTGCTTGCACACTGCATTTCTGGAAAGAATTTACAATTACATAGGCCCGGTAAACCATTTACCTATATACTTAACTTTCGGCATGTAAATAGTGCCATTGAGTTTAATGACACCACTCGTGTTTGAAGTTTAAACACACTGATTTTGCAGGACTGTGCTCATGGTAAATAGCACAGGTTTCTAAAGGCTCTTTTAACTAGTTACCCCAAAATGAGGGGTAATACAGACTTAAGTTATGTTGCTGCTTGTGACATCTATGTGCACCGTATAAGGTACAGTGCACACGTTCATTGCATGTTGTCATCCCTGCAAGCCAGCAATATAGTCTCACTGCAGTGAACGGGGGAATTAGAGAGAGAGAATTAATGTTTTGTTTTACTATTTTTGGGTATGGAAAATGTAGTAGAAAGATTATTTTCATTTAAAAGGAGAGATCCTGAAAATCAACATAATCAAAAAGCTACCCAGCCTGTTAGTAATTTTCAGAATGATGTGGACAAGATATTTGCATTGACATAACTACTTCAGCTACACTCTTGTTTGGCTATTTTGCAAGTAGTGCTTTTATTTAACTCAGTTAGGGTATTTAACTCAGTTAGGGTACTAGCTGACAGCTATCTGAGCAACTAGATGAGCTTACATAACACTTTTAAATGTCTACACTTCCTTCTATATGGGTGCAGCTATACCCAGACGTTATTGGGAAGTGACTGATAATCGAATGTTAACTACATTTTAAACTTTAAAATTTGAGATTGGTATGGCGCCTTCCCTACTCTGCTCTTTTTGATAGATAGTTACTTAAGTAGGTAAGGACAAATTAAATGAATTTGTACACTCCTTGGATTTGGTCCATCTGGATGTCTGGAAATCAAAGGTTCTAATCCCTGCAGGGTCAACTCATGTCTTCACTTTTCTAGGGTAGAAAAATTAAGTCCCTTGCAACTACTGTGGTTTTTGACTGTAAGCTTTTGGAACAAAGGGAATATCTAGACTATGCAGAATGGTCGAAAGAGGATGTGCAAATTCCACAGGAATTTGCATATCTTCTTCTGATCACACTTTCGAAAGCGGAAAGTGTGGGTTTTTCTGAAATCCTCCATACCTCAAAAAAGGAGGTTTATGTGGCTTTTCGACCGGGGGGGTTCTCCGTTTTCTGAAATCCTCCATACCTCAAAAAAGGAAGTTTATGTGGCTTTTCGACCGGGGAAGAGGGGTTCTCCAAAAAAAGCCGCATCTTAATTACTTTCACTTTCAAAAGCTCTGCTTTCAAAGGTGTGATCAGAAGAAGATATGAAAATTCCCACAGAATTTGCATATCTTCTTTCGACTGTTCCCTTGCGTAAGAAATTGATGTTATCTGTCTACACTGGCCTCTTGCGCAAAAACACTTGCGCAAGAGTACTTATCCCTGAGCGGGCCATCAGAGTATTTGTGCAAGAAGCACTGATTTCATACAGTAGAACATCAGTGTTCTTGCGCAAATACTCATGGCCAGTGTAGACAGGTGGCAAGATTTTGCACGAAAGCAGCCGCTTTTGTGCAAAATCTTGCCAGTGTAGACACGGCCTAACTGTGATATTTTTGTAGAGTAGGTTATTATCATCATAGCTGTCTTCCCAGCTGGGAAGCAAGCTAAGCTAACCCTGTACAGCACATAGGGATTCTTTTCCCTGGATTGCTTAGCAAACCTATTAGGGTGAGAGAACACAGTGCACAAACTTAAGAAAATTATGCATTAGAAATACAAATATCCAGCAGTTTGGCAGAAAAATGTATTCCTTAACCAAGGATCATATCAGCATTAATTCCAATACCTTTATCAAATCTAGTACTTACTCGTAGCTAAGATAATGAGAGTTGACAATGTACATTTTTGCTGTTACAGTAATGACAGAAGTCTTATAATTCCAAGAGGAGCAGTGAGGGCAAAAAACCTACATGGTTTCAAGACTGAGCTGGATACGTTTATGGAGGAGATGATATGCTGGAACTGCGTACAGATGCATGTCGCTATCTGTGACGGCTTGCAGCAAATATGTCCAAAGGCTGGTTATGGGACTCTAGATGGGAAAGGTTCTGAGTTATTAAAAGAATTCTTTCCCTGTTGTCTGGCTGGTCTTGCCCACATATTCACAGCACAGCCCAGGTAGAGAAAGTGATCTGGATTTAGGGAGCCGTGACCTTGCTCCAGGTTTCTCTCCTCACTGTCCCTAGGTCTATGGAGAGGAGCAACAATAGCAGTTACTCTGTGCATCCAGGTCAGTTTCCTCATGCAGGCACAGGAGAGGAGTCCCAGGGCTAGAAATGAAGAGGGGAGTGCAGGGGACAGGGGAGAATAGGACACATTGTAGGGGTTGAGGTGCAGAAGGGGGATGCAGGAGTGAAGGGAGTATGCAGGGACTGGGGCAAAGGGAACATAGTGCAGAAGCTCTGGGCAGGAAGGAAGCAGGAGTTAGGAGTGCAAGGGTTGGGGCAAAGGGAAGTGGGAGTGGGGAGCCCATAGGGACCAGAGGCTCTGGCAGGAGTGCTGCACCTACTGGTCCAGGTGCACCAAAATACAAATATACCCAGGGTGCCATTTTCCCTAAGGCCAACCTGGCTCAAAATAAAACATATTAGAGACTCATTTGGTAACTCATCTAGGGTACGTCTACACTAGCTTGTTAGTTCAAGCTAGGTAGGGTAATTAGGGCAAGCGGAGTTGCAAACGAAGCCCGGGATTTAAATATCCCGGGCTTCATTTGCATGTTCCCGGGCGCCGCCATTTTTAAATCTCCCTTAGTCCGAACTCCGTGCCCATGGCTACCCGTGGAATGAGGAGTAACGGTAGTTCGAATTAGGATCTTTAATTCGAGCTACCTACTGCCGTGGGCACGGAGTTCGGACTAAGGGAGATTTTAAAATGGCGCGGCCGGGAACATGCAAATGAAGCCCAGGATATTTAAATCCCGGGCTTCATTTGCAACTTTGCTTGCCCTAATTACCCTACCTAGCTCAAACTAATGAGGTAGTGTAGACGTAACCCTAGTGTGTACATGTCAAAATCAGAAATTTTACTTTTTTTCTCTCTAAAAATAGCTTTTCTTTGTTCCTTGTATATGGGAGGGATAAAGTAGAGGACTGCCAGTACTAATACTCTGCTTTAAGGTGTCTCCATATTTTGGGTGGTATTGTCCTGCCAGCTGACTCTAATAAACAATGAAGCAAGTTTGATATTTTCCTATAGTGCACATTTGTAAGTGTCCTTGTTGGGTCCTTGGCAACAATCACAGAAATTTGCTTTACTTAAAGCACTACTCTATTGCATGCTCCTGAATACCCCACCATATTTAAAATCAGTCATGCAAAGCAACAGTTCCCCCTTCAAAACTATGTGAATGAACGGTTCCCACGTCATGAATTCTTTGACTAAGGGCATGTTTCCTTCCGTTACTTGATTAGTAGATGGAGACACATTATTACCAACCCAGAAAGCAACCCTCTGCCTGACTAAATGACCTTGAATCAATGCAATTTTAGAAAGAGAAAAGAAAGGTATTAACAAATGTATTCCCCCAATTTCTTTTAAATTAGAGCAACTGGATGATTTAGGGTATGAGATAAGAAGCACCTACATTAGGCCAATAAAGCTTTCCCCTTAGGTTGTTGAATCAAATTCAGACCATGTTAGTGGACCCTGAGAGTGATTATTATCTGATGCCTTTTCTGAAATCAGTTAGAAACCTCCAGTCAACTCTTAATTATCCCCAATTTGATACCACTTTGGTGATAGTTTCATTAGAGAGGCCAAGTATTGGAACAGGC